AAAGACTGAACAACCATTCACTCAAAGTATTCAGATTCAAACAGCTAACACCTTAGATCAGGGGTGGAAAATTATTTTGGCTGGCAGGTCATTTAACAAGCTTTGGAGAGCTGTCAAGGGCTGTACACACAAAATCTTTCAGAAGATATCACTTTAACAAATTATAGATAAAAACAAATCATATATTAAAAATCAAATATCTACCAGAACCTATTTCAATTTGAGTTAAAAAATAATTTTTGTTCTGATTTATGTTCCTTCAAGTAGTGTACATAGAAGGGATTGCATAATAGCTCACAATAGTCTTATTCTTGCATACTGTGTATGAGAGAGGATGGGTATGTGTGTGGTGGAGGAGCTGCCTACATGCTAGGTCCTGGGAGCCAGCTGGGGATATGGGGAGAGGGGGTGCAGAAGGCACAGGCAGTAGGGCTCACCCAGTTAGTTTAGTGCGGATACAGATCATCCTCCTCTCAGCCCCAGCCAGTGTGCTCAGCTTCCCAGCAAGGCTGCTGCCACAGCTGCTGCAGCTGCCCAGGTAGTGCTTGGTCCCCCTACCTCCAGCAGTGGGTCCTCCTTTTCCTCATGCCCCTGCTGTGCCATTTCAGGCGGGAGCGGGGTGGGATGAGATGGTGGGGGGACACACTGCAGTCAGGCAGCCCCTACCCCAGCACACATGGGGCTCAACCTCCAAGCTGCCTTCCACCCACTTGGCTGCCCACAGGTGGCTGCTCATTGCACTGGGAAGCTGTGCACACTGGCCAGGGCCAGGGTGGTGCAGTCAGTGGGCGCAGGCCAGGTGTGGATGGAAGCACAGCATGGGCTGCCCTGGGCAGGGCTCAGCCCCATGCGAAGCATTGTGGGGGTAGCTACAGGCTGAATACAAAATCACTTGGGGGACCAGATCTGGTCTGTAGGCATATTTTGCCCACCCCTGTCTTAGAATTCACACCACCTCTTTTTAGATGTCAAAAGCTAGACTGTTAAAAGAACTGCTTTTCCCAAACCCTTATTGCTGGCTAGACTGATAAATAGACATTATAATTTGTCCTCGGTGCTCTGGCAATCTACTTCACAAACAAACAGACTTAATTGCCTGGTTTCTACTTTCTATTCTGTAGCACACTGTACTGGGCAAGTATTTCCTAGACATCTAAATACTACTTGAAATGTGAATGGAGTGGTAGTTGGCTGTATTAGTCTGAAGTCAGACAGAAGGCAGGATAGACATCCAGACTAAGTGAATCACAGATGCATAAATTTTGGTAAGAGAGCTCATTTCATGTACTTCTTCACAGTCAAGGTGTCTGGACAGTGGAATAAGCTCCCTCCAGAGGTGGTGCAATCGCCTACCCTGGAAATCTTCAAAAGGAGACTAGACAGTCACCTTGCTGGGGTCACCTGACCCCCAGTTATCTTTCCTACTTGGTGCAGGGGGCTGGACACAATGACGTTCTGAGGTCCCTTCCAGCCTTACAATCTATGAATCTATGTGGGTGAGGGTGAAGGTCACACCACATCTGTAAAAATGTTCTTGTTCACAAAAGCTTATGCATCTCTGATTCACTTAGTACAGGGGCAGGCAATTATTTTGGGCAGAGGGCCGCTTACTGAGTTTTGGCAAGCCATCAAGGGCCACAAGACAGGCAGCCCAGGGCAGATTAATATTAATTTTCTACATTTTTTTAGGGGCCCCACGGGCTGGACAGAATGGCCTGGCAGGCTGCATCTAGCCCCTGGGCCACATTTTGCCCACCCCTGACTTAGTATGTAAGGTGGATCTCTACCTTGCCTTCCACTTGAAATGTAAACACACACACACACTTTTAGTAAGACACAACCAAATTACCAAGTCAATAAAAACTCTGCTGTTTAGAGAAGCGGTGTTTAGCAAAATGCATTTAAAGGATAGTTTACCCACAACAAAAGGATACTGTTTACAGGCACATTCCAATCTAAATTGTTTAACTTGCTATTTTAACTCAAAATGTTCTAAGGCCAGAGATCTACAGAACTCATTTATTCAAAAGATTCTTTCAATCCAATAAAGTGTGTCATGGCGGGGTCCTGCAGGAAGGCCGTGATCTCCTCAAGGCCCCCTTCCCGTGCCAAGTTTGCCCAAAGGCACCCTCAAATTCTCGCCCACCACGTCTTTGATGTTCCAATATATTAGGGAGTCTGCCTTCACGTATTCTTAGACGCTGTTTAGCTGTGCTCTGAGCCCCGTGGGCTCCTGGACCCCTTTGTGGGCCCCGTTCTAGAGTGGGTGTTTCAGGGCACCCTAGCCTTATGGGCTATGTGTGGCTCCAACCACCCCTTTACCATGCCCCAAGCCGCACAGCTGGAATAGACGTTATTCGGTCCAGGTCCACACCCTCTCTCTGGGCCTTCTCAGTAAGGCTGCCCCCTCTCTGGGGCCTTCTCAGTAAGGCTGCCCCCTCTCTGGGGCTGGGGTCAATGCACCCTGAATGCTGCGCCCTCACTGGCACTGGGGTCACCACACTGCTGTGGGACTCCTATGAGGCCTCCTCCAACCCCTAATAGCTTCACCCAAACCACAGGTATTAAATAGTAACACAAACTCATGCCCCTTGGCTATAACTTAAACTGAAGCTGCCCGACTATAACCACGTTCAAGCCTTCCAGGGATTCTTCATCTCGCAGCAGTGTCAGACGCTGCTCCTGCATCAGGCTTCTCCTCTCTTCAGTGACAGAGAGCTCCTTCCTCCTTGGCTGCTGGCAGAGAACTCCCTCTGGCCTCAGCCCCTAGGGTTTATAAGGGAGCCAGGCCCTGCCCCTTTCAGTCAGCTGACTGCTGGCAGGTGTGAGCTCTTGCTAGCTCCAGTTGCCCTGGCAACCCACAGCTGGGCTCCTTATTCACTGCTAGGGCTCTTTCTCTAGCAGCTTTCCCTTCTTTACGAGCAGGGCACCTTAGTGCTCTGCGACAAAGTGTATACAAGAATGTCTTCCTGAAATTCATGATTACAGCTGGCACAATGGCAAGAAATGACTTATTTGTGTTACTGTCACACCCTCTTTCCCCATGTACCACCTTGTTCATTTTACCTGCTTATATTTTGTCATAATCCCAAAACAAGCTGTTTGGGGCAGGAAAAGTCCTTGTATATCATGTCCATTCATTGTTTTAGAAACATGAGGACTGATTAGAGTTAGTAGCTCTACTAATATAAACAAGTTAAAGAATTCTGCACAGCTAAAAAAGGACATTTACTAGATCATTTATCAGTCTAGTCAAGCAAACAATGGATACACTCTCACCCTCAGAGGGGTGAGATTTTTGTTTTGTTTTTTGTTTTAAAGAAACAAACCATAAAATCAAACAACCTCCAATAAGAGATTTCTGTTGCCTCTATTACCAATTACTTAAATTTAAGACGGAGCTTGACCAGTTTATGTTAGGGATTATATATTGTAGTTTCTTATACAGGACCAAGAGGTCCCTTCTAACTGAAGTCCAACTGGATTGTACCCACTTATTCTCAGGTCACTGCCCTTTAAATAGCTCTTCTTCCTCCCTTATGTATTTGCAGATCCCCCTTATCAGCCTTCATTTTACAAGGCTTAACAAGCCAAGCTCTTCATTTCCTCTTTAAAAAAAAAGGAAAGAGGATCTCCACTCCTCAAACATTCTAGTAACCCTTTTCTGCATTTGTTCCAACTTAGTTAATATTTCTTGAATGCTGGTGGACCAAAATTGTATGCAACATTCTAGGCGAGGGATCAGTTATTTGTACAGTGGCATTAATAGTTTAGTTCCCTATCTATCCCTTAAGTTTCTCGTTCAATCCATTTTAGTATGGAATTTGCCCTTTTCACTAACATACCACAGGGTTGGCTCTCAGTCACCTTGTGATAGGCTAACACACATGGGTCTCTCATCTATCACTTGCAAAGGAAGAGCTTCCAATTTATGATAGACTTTGGCAGTTCTCATAGGCTTAAGTCTAGGATTTTGTACTATTCAGTTTCATCCCATTTCTAATACTCCAATCCTCAAGATCATCCAGACCTTCCTGCATGAGCTGGGGATATTCCAACTATCCTCTCTGTTAACAGTGCCTCCCAACTCTGAGTCATCAGTATACTTCTTGTGTCACTGAAAAATACCAGTATTAAATGAGTTTGGGCCTAAAACCTCAAGAACTCCACTTGTAACATTTCTCTCAGCCTGCTAATTGCCTTATCTCACACAATATGCTATCGCTTCCCCCTTTAGTCCATTTCTTACCTACATTATAATTCCTCTATTAATCCCCATTTGCTGTGGTACCACATCAAACTTTTACTGAAGTTCAGATAAAGGAAATGCAGAAAATTTCATTCATCTAAAAAATAGTTTCTTATGAAAGTAACATATTTGGTTAGTCTGGCATGATCTACCTTTGAAACATTTTTATCCAATATTTAAATTTGTCTTCCTGTCTGTATTTTCCCCTTCAAATTTTGTTTTAAAGCTCTGATTATTATTGAGATATGACTAACAGGCATGCAACTGTCTAGATCTTTTTTCCCTTTTTAAAAATAGGTACTATATTTGCTGTTCTCCAATCGTGCAGCACCACCCACAACTTACTAGATGCATTAAGAACCTTGTTACCAGACCATCAATTATGTGCCAGTTCTTTCACATTCTCTGATGGAGATTATCTCACAGTTTCATAGTAGCTATGGTCAGGAGGAACCTGAACAGATCATCTAGCCTGACCTCCTGCCACAGGCAGGAATGAATGCTGGGTTCACAAGACCCCAGACAGGTGATCTGGCACCACAACAGATGGCAGAAAGCTCCAAGGTTCCCTACCAACTCAGATATGGTAATTTTCATATCTACTCCTCTTTCCCACTTAGAATGACTTATTTTTCCAATAACTGGAGCAAATAAGTGCAATTACATACTTTGGCAGCAACATCATACACAAAAAAATGCCTTGATTATCACTATAAACATTTATTAGATACTAACTGTCCAGAAATAATACCTTCAATGATCATTTTGCCATTCTGCTGCAGGCTAAGTATTTGAATCTCTATATGATGTTTCATAACTCCAAGAAGATTTCCTGATCCTGTGGAACAAAAGATTGTTTTTAGACTAGTTGTGAAGCAGTCAGATGATCATGTGTAAAACTGGAGAGGAAAAAAAAGCTAATGCTCAGGCATCACTGATTCTGAAGTCCTAGAATATACCAGCTGTTTGGGAAAATGTTTCATTACATTCCATTAACACCTTCATTTTATTAATATTCTGGTAAATTATCTTTCACAAGCTACAGAATATACTGTAAGACCCTATGGGATAATTTATAGTGCTACTCCAATGTCAGAATTGCTTAAATTCTGTACAATTATTAGGTTAACAGCCATTTGTCTACTAAAATGCATCTGAAACAGCACCAGGATGATATCTATTTTTTAAAAACTATTCTTAATATGTTGGAGACTTGTTTTCTTAGTAGTCGTGTTTGGTTATATCTAATACCATGACTGCAATTCATTTAGCCTCACCATAAATTCATAGGGAAATAAAAAGTCCAGAGAAAAATTACTTTGGAGCCTGTTATGCCCCTTATCATGCCATGTTAAATCATATGTATAACCACTGGTTATAACAAATTGGATCTACCACATGGTATCAGAACTAAAAACCTGGCATATTGGTGGTATGTCCACTGTTAGACCACCAAATGCTGCCAGGTAGCAAGTGAAACTTCAACAAAAGTTACTATATGACTGCTGTCATCATCTTTACAAACTAGAGTTGGTTTGATTTATAAACGATTAGTAAGCATTAACTAGAATGGTTTACTTGTATGTACAACTTTAATCCAAGGGTCTTAGATATTTTCCCTATACTACCCTTCCCTCCATACTATGAAACATGACCTGTCCAATAAAAAGCTCCAAACTGTGCTGCTCAGAGTAGCCCAGGAGGCACAATGACTCAGAATCACAGCCTTGCAGTAAGTTTCCCTGATGTTCTGGAGAGGAAATAAGTTACCCTAAGGCTATACATGGGACATCACATGCTACATGCTGTGCAAGTGGAGCTACAGTGCCTGGAGCAATGGGAGTGGAAGCCTGCACACAGAGCCACAGCTCTACCTGGGTGAGTGGAAGTCCAGAGGTTCGGCAGAGCTTGCTTTTCATCCCATGATGGAAGTAGTCACAGGGAATTAGGGGCATCATCCCATGCCCTGACAGGTTAGACCCAGCACATGATTCTGTAAAGTTATGGTACAGTCAAGCAAACCAAGGCTCAGAGACACTTAATGATTTGCTTACAGCAATGCAAGTCTCTAGATCAATCTCAAAAAGATTTTAATAATTCATAGACATTTGTTATAATCAATGTACCATACAGAACGAATGCTGCATCGACTGATTATATCATACTCAGCAGAAGAAATGATGCACTATTAAAAGAAGTTTGTAGAGATCCAGTGATTTTAGTGAGTTACTGGACACACAAAATGGGGAATTCTGAATGTGTAAGTCTCTATTGTCATTACTAACAGCCACACTTGCTACCACACTAGCTGCATTCCTACTCCCATTTCTCTGAACCGCAGAATTGATCATACCATATGAGGTATTATTCACAAATGGCTTGAGAAAGAGTTGATCCAGTTTTCAAGTTAATGCTATATACTGTATTTTCTTGCATAGCATACACCACCAAATAAAGACATGCCCCTTACTTTGGAAAGGCAACATGAAGAAAAAAGATTTTCCCAGAGTTAGGTCCACACAAAGCAGAGATAGAGCCTAAACTTTTGCTCACTCACCCCCTCCCTTTCCTGACCAGGCAAAAGCTACTGTTTTAACTCTTTCACAGGTGAACTGTCAAGCAGCTCTTGATTGCTCTGCCAAAACCTGGAATTGTAGCTGCTGCTGAAGCCTGGACTCTATGGGCAGATCTAGAACTTCTAAAAAGAGGTGAAAAACTGCCTGCAAGGCTAAGAAATAAGAAGAGAGACCAAGAGTAGCTAACAAACAGGAGAATGGTCAGAGAAAGATAACTTGATTAGCAGTATATCAAAACAATTACAAAGGAGAAAGGGTCATTAACACCTATGGAGTGACGAGCTATTAGTAGAAATCAGGTATGGGATGAGCTACAAAGTCAACTGACTCCATTAGTGCTGCCTGTATAGAAGTGACTGCTGCTGGTGGACATTTGGTTTTGAACTTTTTGTGGCACAACAATCAAAGCAGGATACAACTGCACCACTGTGCATCTCCTCTCCCCCCACTTCCCTCCCCATACACCAAAATATGCCCCTGATGGATTCCACCTCTCCATCCATGCAGCTGCTGGAGGGAAGAGAAGGAAACACAGCATCAGCCACCTTACAGCATCTCCACACTCATACTGTGGACAGAAAATTATCTTTTCCAATTAAGACACGAAGCCCAATTTTGGAAGGCTATTTTGGGACAAAGGTGAGTACTGTATACAAGAAAATATAGTACTCATTTCTACTTTAAAGGGAATACCACACACATGCCTTAAAAAAAAAAATTGACACCAATTTCCTGGGTTTACAGTGCCTCTTTTGGGGATAGAGAAAATGAGATACTATCTTTTTTTTGGATCCCAAATTACCAATACATATTTTCATTCTACATGGCATCATAACAGTTTTTGCCAAGGAACTGCATTTATTATTAATAATGTTTGAAGAGTCATACAGGAACTATAAAACAAGAAGCCCAAACAGCTCCACGTGATATTTTTAGCCATTTGAAACTATATGACACCAAACTATATTGTACTCCGCAGCTGGAATACTGTGTCCAGTTCTGGGTGCTGCACTTCAACAAGGACATGGTGAAGCTTGAGAGAGTACAGATAAGGGCCACCCATATGATCAGAGACTTGCACAGCAAGCCATACAAGGAAAAGGCTGAGGGATCTGGGATTCTTCAGGCTGAAAAAGAGAAGGCTGAGAGGGGACTTGGTAGCAGCTTACTGCTACATCAGGGGAGTACATCCAGGGCTTGGTGAACAACTCTTCACCAGAGCACTCTAGGGGAAAACCAGCAGTAATGGCCACAAACTCCTGGAAGACTATTTCAGGCTCAACACTAGGAAAAATTTCTTCAGTTTGAGTGTCCAGACTGTGAAATAAGCTCCCTCAAGAGGTGGTGCAATTGCCTGCCCTGGAAACCTTCAAGAGGAGACTGGACAGTCACCTTGCTGGGGTCACCAGACCCCAGCTGTCTTTCCTGCCTTGTGCAGGGAACTGGACCTGATGATCTTCCGAGATCCCTTCCAGCTTCACAATCTATGAATCTATAAGGTTACACACAACTTTTGGACCAAATCCATCAGTACACACTGACTCCTTGCTGTACTGGGCAGTTAAGCTGGGTTCAGAGCTGCTTTGCATCACCATGGCAGCTGAAAGAATCTGAAATGTGCACCTCTCCTGCCCTCTACGTGCGCGCGTGAATATGCATGCAACACAGAGTCTCCAGTTTTCCCCTTGGCCATCCCTATAGGGCTGGTGCAAAAAGTATGTTATAAATCTATTATAATGATTTCTGTAACTAAAAATGCATGC